CATGGATAAAGAAAGAAGGGATCTTTGACATAACAATGGGAAGCTTTAACGGTGGACAACCTGTGAACTCATAGGTATATATTTACTACATGAACTAAGCAAAATAATAGATTGAAATAATATGGGACTCTACAGGTATGGCGGTTTCATAATCTTAAGAAACTATAACAAACAAAACACAGACAAAACTAGAAAACAATAATAAAAATTTTCAAAAATATTGGATTTGACAGGCATAAAAACTAACCTAAACTAAATGGATTTTCTAAATGTTACCTTCAACGCAAGAAAAAATACACATAAACTATACAAAAAACCCAATGATAAACCACTGTATATACAGACATCTTCCAATCACCCAGCATCTATAATCAAGCAGATACCAAAATCAATTAACCACAAGCTTTCCGACAATTCTTCCAATGAAACCATATTCAACGAAGCTAAGAAAAACTTCGAAACAGCCCTAAAAGTTAATGGATTCCCTGCAACACTCACATGCTCACCACAGAGGACAAAAAAGCCAACAGGAAGAGAAACATCATAAGGTTCAACCCACCATACAACAAAAACATAAAAACAAATGTAGGAAAAATATTCATCAAACTCTTACATAAACACTTCATTTTTTTTTTTTAAAGCAAGTCACCCCAAGCAAGACAGGAGTGCCACTAGCATGCAAGGGGTTACAGAGGATTGAGAAAAAGAGTAAAGAGGCGTGTTTGAGGAAAGGATACAGAGGACAGGGAACAAGATCAAGGTATCAGATGTCGATTGACATTACACATGAATATTTGAAGATTATAGTTATTGGAGAAGCAACCAAGGGGAAGGGAGTTCCACAGTGTTATATTTTCGTAAAAAGAAAGCCTTAAAAAAAGGTTATTCTATCCTAGCTTTCTAAATAAATAAATGCATCACAGACAGATTCATCACTGTAAGTAGTAGCAGTAACATCTTGGAAGCAACAGTCAGCAGCAAGTGGATTCAAGGCCTGAAGGTATTGGTCTACAGACTCATTTTCCTGCTGCAGACGTGTAGACAACAAATGTCTAGCATGAATAACACTTGGAGACTTGTCATAAACACTTTTCAGCAATTCAACAGCATGTTCAAATCCAGAACAACCCTTGATAACATCAGCAACGGTAGCACCGATGTTTAAATAAAGAACTTCGAGTTTGTCCGGGTTTAAAGAAGAAATAGCTGATAAGTAATAATTAAAATTACGGTACCATAGTCTCCAGAGCTTGCTAGCCTGAGGGTCTGCAGAAGATATATCAAACTTGTCCAGACGAATAATCTTGTCCATGAGGAGTTAAGTTCAGTAAATTGTTACGTAGTACAGAGAAGAAAGCTAGGATAGAATAAACTTTTTCAATTACAATCTCTTTTGCAAGTGGGGGAGAATGTTATATTTTCAAAAAAAAAAAAAAGGTGTCTATGAGGGCAGTTAATCTCTTTCCTTTTAATTCTAAAGTTTTAGTAACTGGAGGAGATCTATCATCGTCTTTAGCACGGGCTACTATAATAGCTGAGGTAGAACGTGAAGGTGCCGGCATGGTAGAACGGCAAACTTTAGAAAAATGACCGAGTTTGACACAGTTTCGACATATCTTATCCAGAGTATGTGGTGGTGCTGCTGCTTCTTCCTTGAAGGGACTTAAATTGATACATATTAGGTGACGAAGTTACAACACAGACAGGAAGCACAATTGAAGAAGTTGTTTGAGTAGAAGATATGGTTACATTTAACCATTTTGACAGTGAAACGGTGGGACCGAGATTCCAGGCTAGTAGCTCACTTAAACTCATGCAGTCTGGGGACCAGCGAAAATAACTTGTCAGAACAGTTGCCATGAAAATACTTGTAGAAGAGACAGAGGGAAGCCACGGCATGTCTATGAGAAAGCGACTGTATACTAGATGCCAGATCAGGACCTATCACATTGCATATTCATCTCTGGATTTCGTTGAGGACCTCGAGACATACAGCGGGGACACCAGACCATATATGACAGCAATATTCTATGCAAGGACAGATGGTTGATTTATAGATTTAAAGGATGGACTCAGATGAGAACCAATTTTCCTTGCAATAGATGAAGCTATTGTTTCAATGTTCCCCAAGGCTCTATCTTAGGCCCAACAGTGTAGGGCCCAAGATAGAGCCTTGGGGAACACCAGCATTTGTGATAAAGGAGCTAGAGGAGAACCTGTTTAGGTTGACCTTCATTTCATGGTTTGACTTGAATGATTGTATTAAGTCAAATTGTCCTGTAATACCGTATCCCTGAAGCTTATGAAGGAAGTTTAGAGAGGACAGGAGCCAATTCAGGAGCACATTTCAGGACAATGTCTGGTATCCCATACCCACCACTAGCCTTATAGGAGTCTAATTTAGAGATGATGTTCAATACCATCATTGGGGTTATGTGCATCTCACTCAGTAGAGCCTCAGTTCTAAGGGGAAAATCAGGTGTGGGTACATCAAATGAGTCTAGCGTTGAATTGAATGAGAATTTACAAGCAAAGCATTCAGCCTTATCAGCTGAGGAGGTCAGGACCTCAAATTGATTGAATAAAGGAGGTATTGTGGGTTTGCTGTTATTCAGTATGCTCTTGCAGAGTCGCCAATAATCTGAACCAAACTTACGAGACAGTACATTGTTTCATTCTTTCAGCAAAGAGTAACTTTGCTTCATTTAGGACACGCTTGCACTCATTATGAGCAGTGACAAAGAGACATCTGTTGCAATCAGTCATGTCTCTATGGTACAGTGGAAGTAGTGATTCCTGTGGACAATAGCAGCTGAGCAAGCAGCTGAGAACCAAGTGGATGAACGCACTTTCACTTTATTTTCTTGCAGGGATGACCATTTATTCAGCAGGAGGGAAGGAAGTAAAGATTTTCCAAGTGTAGCTTAGATGTGGCACAAGGCCGAAAGCATGGGGCATCCAGTGAGGAATGAACTCACTTTTCAGTAGTAACTGACATAGCAAGACAAGCTTGCTAACCATTACACCACGCTGAGGTGCCCTAGGAGAGAAGGAAGTATAAACCACATCATGGCCGTTACACGCAGTTGAGTTAGCTGTCTGATGCTAGCATGATTATTTCAAAGATTTCATAGTCAAACAAAGAACTTAAAATAAAAATTAAAAAAATGAGAGGGAGGCAGCTAAAATTTGCTTTGGTTTCAAAGAACATTATTCAAAACTAAGAGAATTATTTATTTATCTATTTATTTTCGATAGTGATCAAAAATAAATAGATAAATAAATAAAACAAGCAGGAAGAGATTCCCTGAATCAAGCATTTTCCACAAAATATTCAACAAAAACACAGTAAAAATCAGCTATAGTTGCACTGAGAACATGACACAAATAATAAAACAGGAAAACTATCAAATCACCCAAACAAATAAAACCCATGTGTAACTTCAAAATAAAGAACTAATGTCCCTTAAATGGTAAGTGCTTACAAAACAATGTAATATACCAAGCCACAGTAAAACCATCAGATAATGAAGTAAAAATATACATAGGAGTAACTGAAGGACCATAGAAACAAAGAAACTATGCACACAAAACATCTTTCACAAATAGTAAATACGTGAACAGCACAATGCTTTCCAAGTATATCTGGGAAATTAAAAACAAAATGCAAATCACACCAAAAATATCATGGAAAATAAGGAAAAGAAAAGCCTACAACACTCAATCCAAAAACTGCTAACTCTACTTAGAGAAAAAAATAGTTATAATTACCTTCCCAGACAAAAACAAACTACTAAATAAACAATCAGAACTCATCGCAAAATGCAGACACGAAAAAAAATTTTTCTACGTTACTTAAAAAGCGAAAACTGAAAGGAATAAATAAAAATAAAATAAATAAGCAAAAACAAGTAAAATAAATTAATAAAGCAAATAATAAACAAATTAACAAACCCTTCCCACCAAAATAACCTTCAGAATAGACTACAACAATCAATACAAAAACTGCAAACTCTGCTTGGAGTTAAAAAAATAGCTATAATTACCTTCCTGGACTAAACAAACTACTAAATAAACGATCAGAACTCATCTCAAAATTTTTACTATGTTACTTAAAAATCAAAATCTGAAATGAATAAATAAATAAAAGAAAAAAAACAGTTAAATTAATCCAAATAAACTAATCAACAAATCATCCCCACCAAAATAACCATTAGAATAGACTACCCACAATGTACCACTGACCTATATATATATATATATATATATATATATATATATATATATATATATATATATATTAGTTGAGAAAAAAACACAACGCATGTGGACTGATGATTGTGTTTAGCATGAAACAGCCTGTGAGTGCTGACTTCAATGTTCACTTTTATATTTACATATGCTCTCTGTTATTGAATACTTTATCCCATAGGTATTGCATACCTTAAAACTATATTTCTTCACACACACATATATGAAGAGGTGGCCTGATGATTGCGTCTAGTATGAAACAGACTGTTGCCTCTAAGTGTTGACTTCAATGTTCACTTATATATATATATATAAAAATAAATAAAACTTGCCATGCTCTTAAATAGTCTTGTCAGATCAAGACTAATATAGACCCCATGCATGGTGCTAAATTAATTCAGGAATATCTGAACTATTAACTTCTTTCTCAGATCAATGTTAAAAATTATTTTGGGCAAATGAATCCTGTAGGACTGAGAGAGGACTTTTCTTCTTCAGACCTTGCAGACTGGCATGACAGAATCACAAAGAACAGTACCAAATAACAGATACCACATCACATCATATCACATGAGGACTTTCAACAATAGCAACAACTAAAATCATGTGTAACTAAAAAAAAAAAAAAATAATGACAAAATCAAGATGTCGGCATTTCCCACTACTTCAAACAAAGGCATGAAAGTAAACCTCATAAGTATGTAATCAGATAAGCATCCATTGTCTTAACTTCTGTTGGTAATACTTACACAATGGAATCCATCCAACGATCTGAATCACTGGAAAGTAACACATCAACATGGCTCTGAGAACTATCGACCTCCTGGGAAAGAGAAAAAAAGGTTAAATTTCACCTATAATAACAAAGCTGAGTATATTAAAGCTGGTTCTTGATAGCATATTAAAAATAAAATAAAATCTCTCTCTTACACACACATAAATACGTGGGGATGCCAGAAAGTTCTTGGTCCAACCCACTTTCTAAAGCCTAATGATCTAACATTGGAACTTGTTTTAGAATTCTTTCTTGATCAGGCTGAGTATTTTTCATCATGCCCTCTCTCTTATAGATAGATAGATAACCAAGTAAATAAATTGAAATTAAATATTCAAAGACAAGTTTTGCAGAAATAAATCTGGTCTTTAGGAGGCAAGATAAAATCAACTTAATTTCTTCACAAATATCATATTTAAGATACATTACAGAAACAAAAAAAAAATTGATACTTTTTTATTCCAATTTAACTTTAAATATTTTTTTCCTTATGTGACATACTTTAACTTAAAATTTCCCAATTATATTAAATGATTTTTAAGTTACAGGAAGTAATTTGTACATAAATCTTAAATAAATATGGTAAATGGTCCTATGTATTTATACTTCATTGAATTTTAGACACATTTATATTATGTTAATATTCAAAATTACTGATTATATCATCTACTACATTACTATTTTTATAATTTTACGAGGCAAAAACAATCTTTGTTAATGAAAATGAGAAACTCCAGAGTCAAGGGAGGCACTGAATATAACATCAATCAGCTAAATGACAAATTTTATTTGTATTCATCATGGCTTGGCTTCACAAAACGAAGATCACAAGAGAGTCTGTACACGCTGCTTGCAGGCACGTTTGTGACTGATAAGTCCAATGCGGGACAGGCATACTCGGTTGCAGTAGTTGCAGCTATGGTATAGCATTGCAATACTTCAACCTCTGCCTCTTGTCCTTGAGAGCATTCCTGCAGGTATCAAAGAAGGAGACAGCATGGTTGGTGGTGAGACACCAGGCGTCATGGTTCTCAGCTAGGGTTGACCATTGTCAATGGTTAATGTGACAAGCAACAAAGGATTTTTTCGGGCAATCTTTGAATCACTTCTTTGGTGCCCCTCTGCCATGATAGCTAGTGGAGAGCTCACTGTACAATAAAATTTTAGGCAGATGATGTTTCTCCATCCTGGAAACATGTCCAGTGCAGCTTGGACTTCAACAGCATGGCCTCAATGCTGATGATCTTTGTCTTTTCAAGAACTTCAATATCGGAGACTCCAGTGTATGTTAAGTATCATGTGGAGGCAGCACTGGTGGAACTGTTCAAGGAGTCAGTGGTGGTGTCGGTAGGTGACCCATGACTGAGCTGTATAAGAGAGTGGTGAGGACGATAGTTCTATACACCCTGATCTTAGTGCCCTTCTTCAGGTGTCTGTTATACCACACATTTGTACAGTCTGCCAAATGCAATGCTCACCCTTGTGAGTCTCTTGTTGACCTCTTTGTCAATCCTAGCATCTGATGTGATGGCACATCCAAGGTAGGTAAACCGATGGACTCCCTTTCAACTCAATTGCACCAATGATGATGTGGGAAGTGCAATACTCATCCCAAAGCACAGGCTGGTAGAGTATCACTGTCTTCTTTAAATTAACTTCAAGTCCAAAAAGCTTAGCAGCCTCTGTGAAGGTAACAATGGCAGCATTGTCAGCAAAACAGAGGTCTCGGATAAGTTGCAGGGAAAAATAAAACAGGAACTTTGATGGACAGCCAAGTCACCCCATGATCTGCCACATTCCTCTTTTGCTCTTTTAGTCACATCAATGAGCGCCACATATAGCCCCTTGTTTTATTCCCAACATTTCTCCTGCAGCTGCCAGAGAACAAACACCATGTCTGTTAAGCTCCTGTTGGTTCTGAAGCTGCACTGACTCTCTGGAATGTGCTGTTTCACGATGGCGGGTACCAGCCTATTCAGCAAAACCCTTGCAAGGATCTTTCCTGCGATGGAGAGCAGAGTAATCCATCAGTAATTGGAGCAGTCAGATTTTTCCCCTTTGTTCTTGTACAGGGAAATGATGACTGCATCACAGAGATCTTGTGGTATTTTTCCCTGCTCCTAACAACAGCAAAAAGCATGTGGATTTATATATGCAACATTGGGCCCCCATGCTTCCAGATTTCAGGTAGGATTCCATCAACTCCTGCTGCCTTGCCATACCTCAGCTGCTTTATGGCTTTTGTAGTCTCTTCAATGGTGGGTAAATCATCCAGTTCCATTTTTACTGGTTGTTGGGACATGCAGAGAATTGCTGGTTCCTGGACCAAGTGATTAGCAATGATGAGGGCCTGGAAATGCTCCAACCAAGGGTTGAAGATGGATGCCTTGTTTGTAAGGAGCATCTGTCTGCACTATGCATAGGACTCTGAACCTGATACATATCTATATACTGCCTTTAAAAGCTTCATAGAAGCCCCTGATGTCTCCAGTGTCTACATACAGCTGAATCTCTCGAAGTCTGTGCTTGAGGTCATGGCATACGAAATGGAACACAGCTTTCCCTACAGGACAAACTGTCTGAGCTTGATGAGTTGTTCTCTTCCTCACCAGCAGTTCTTGAATTTCCACAGATGTCTGCAGAATGCCAGTTTTGAGTTTTTTTCCAAAGTGTTTCAGGAGAGGAATCTTTGGGGATGCTTACATCTTCAAGCCTTGACTCAAGTGCTGCTTGGAAGTTAGCTTTCATTTCATCTGATTTAAAACTGCCAACCATAACATTTTTTCAGAAGGTACCTCCTTTTCTTATCTTGAGTTTAAAGTGAAGCTTAAGTTTGCAGCAAACAAGGCAATGGTCGGTATGAAATTCTGCACTGGGTATCACTCTTGTGAGCATGATATCTTTTAGGTCACACTGGTACACTATGGCATAGTCAACGAGATACCAGTGTTTAGACCAAAGATGCATCCAGGTTGTTTTCAATCGATTTTTCTGTTGGAAGATGGTGTTCATGATGATGAGCTGATGCTCTACGCACCCATTGTCATTACAGATACCAATACCATGTCTCCCAAGCAAAATCTTGGCCTACTCTGGCATTAAAATCACCAAGGATTATAACTTTATCATCTGCAGGGGTGTCTCATAGTAGGCTGCGCAGATCTGAGTAAAATTTATCTTTTTCCACAGGATCCGCTTGTAAAGTTGGGGAGTACACACTAATTAGTGTGACATACTGAAGATTACTCAATGGGAGGTGCATAGAGATGATGTGGTCAGAATAACCTCATAGCAGGTTTTTAAGCTTGGAGGCAATGGAATCCACGATCATGAAACCTACACCTGAAAGACAACTCTCTGCTACTGAATTGCCTGACCAGCACAGGGTATATCTGGTGCCATACTCTTGTAGGCTGCCTTCCTCTTGGAAACAGACTTCACTGAGAGCAGCAATGTCAACATTTAGTCTTGACAATTCATTTGCAATTAGAGCAGAGCGACGCTCTTGTCGACCACTGTCGGGTGTGTCCAACATGGTCCTGATGTTCCAGCATGCTACATGTAGTCTTTTGATATCCTTACAGGTGGGTGTGAACCTTTTCTTTACTGACATTTGACCACATGAAAAGAGGCCCGTTGACTGCAGTTAGCCAACTGGGAAATATAGATGAGCTTTGTTTAGGCCACCTTTTCTAGGCCTCTCTCCATATTGAGGAAGCAGTGCTGTCCCTAGAGATGGCTGCTCGGTCAATTAGAGTGCTGCCGAATGATGTTGTTGTCTCCAGGTCAACATCAGATGATCAATATCCTGACCTGCCTGCATGCAGGATTGGGACTGCAACTTCCAGTGTCATCTTCCACCTGTCATTTTCACCCCTCCCCTATCACTACAGGGCTTGGAAATGTACATCTCCCTCAGGCCTGCACAGTGGAGTTTTTAGGTGAAGTGTAGTGTATGCTAAACTGGCCCCACCCTAAACTTGTGATTCAATCTGTCATGACCTAGCAAGCTGGGACAATGGCAGTGAAGTCCCAGGGTTGTAGGTTTTACAGAATGTCCTTCTCTTAGTCAATGGATTGGGGGGGGGGGGCTGTGAAATCCAAGACTCCCAGGATAATTATGGTAGATGGCTGTTGAGCAAAAACCTTCCTCTGCCCTTTAGACAGGTCTTTTATTTAATCCTGCAGGGTGACTAGCCACCCCACCCACAGGAAAAAAAAAATCTGTTGGGGTACTGGTTCAGTCACCGATAATCCTACTATGAAACAGGTAGTACTGGAATACATAGTACCAGTAGTGCTAGGGAGCGACCTGATCTATATATATATATATATATATATATATGAGAGAGAGAGAGAGAGAGATATTTCATGATCTTAATGTCAGGAGGTAACTAAGTTATGAAATGTTTAAATGTTCTTTCTTTTAAAGAAAAAAAAAACTATTTAAATGTATTAGCTAAAACCTAGATATTTTAAACTATCTATTGTAACCATTTTAAAACATTTGTGCAGTTTTCATACTTAATTTTATTAAGGACTGGGTTCAATTTTTTAATATACATAACTTCAAGAATTTTTAGTTTATGTTTATTATTTTCATGAAAACGTATACATGTATTTTCAACAAGAAAAATTCAACTTTCAGATGAACACAATTTTTGTCTTAGAAAAAAAAACACCCTGATGATGACATTGTGCTAATAAATGAATATGTATCAACATGGTAATTTTCTCTCTTCCTTCAATAAGGTTACTAAGATGCTTGTCCCTGAATATAAAAGAATCTTATTGAAATTAAGTAGACAAAACTTGTCTAAATTATTCATTGAGACATGTCTTAAAGAATAAAAGCTTAAATATAAACTCAAGTCTCAATGTCAAAGTTGGCAGAGCTTATATATGTATAATTACACCACATATTATATAAATTCTTTTCTTCTGTGTAACAATTGGGGGGAAGTTTGTAAAATAACGATGAAACACCCACCCACCCAAATTTAAGTTATCTGTTTTTGAAAAGAAAAAAGAGAACTTTAGTTAAATAA